CTAGTAATGTCTATTAATCAAAACAAGCCCACCAGTCTATATGAGCAGACTTCGACCCAATTACAGCTCATAGAGCGGTTTTCATTTGAGTGTCGAAAAGTAATTGGTTTTGCACTTTCTACACGATGCGATTGGCTTAAAAGATTCGCGCCACCTTTTCATCCAATCAGAAGTAAAACCAAAGCCAATTGTGACGCAGCGCTTTGCGTCAGCCACATGTCATTACTTCGAGTTTTGATTGGTTCAATGTATTGTCTGTGTCCTATGTGATTGGCCAGAGTAATTACTTTGGTTTTGGTTTTACGACACTCAAACGAAAACCACTCTATGACGCCGAATTAGGTCACACTGAATTAGCTATTTTGTGGTCGTCGTCGTTGTTGTTGTTGTAGTTGTTACAGCTGATAAATATAGTGAGTAGCGCGAGATATTTAAGCCATCATCTTGCAATTATATTACACGCTTTTTGTGTTTAAGAGAATTTAAAGGGCGTTGCAGATCATGAAGGGGGGTCACGCAAGAGCTTGCTAACGACATGAGGGGATAGAAAAAAAGCGTGACGCTGGCTACTTGATTAAAAGGCCGGTGTTATGAAGCCTTTTCACATGACGTCAAGGCGGCCACATTGGTGTTCCAAAACAATTAAGCGGCAGTCATGTTGGTGTACCGAGCAAATCCTATGAGATTTGAACGAATTTCTTAAGCCCCGTGCGAACGGGCGAAACATTTTTGGATGTTACAAGTTGCGTCCGTTTGCACACGCTGTTGCGTATTGTTGGGATTTGTTGAGCAAAGTTTGAAAGCGGTCAAACTCTTGAGCAAACAACTAACATTTCTCTTTTTTCGTGATCGCCGAAGCGTAGCGCGCAACAATGTTGGGTCGTTTTCACAACTCTTTCAACACTGTTGGGGCCGCTCACGCTCATTACACATGGTCTCCAAAGTCTTATGTGTTGTATCCTTCCCACGATGCACTGCAAGTCCCAACATTGTTGGTACTTGTTGCTAACAAATCCCAACATTGTTAGTTGCGTCTTTTGGCACGTAGCTTTACGTAAACGCTTTCAAAAGTTGCAATAAATTTGCATGGATACTGAAAAAGTGAGTGGATTTCACATGGAACGAAAATGAACACAAATGAAGTTGTTTCCAAATAGTCAGCTTAATCATTCTCAAATGCTTATCATGCATAAATAATTACTTAAAAAAATTGATCAGCCTTGTAAACCGTTTTCGTACACGCCGCTAACAGCTTTACTAATTTATCGAAGCACAGGGACGTTTTTACACATGAAAAAAGTTTGACTCCAAGTCCAAATAAACAAATTTCACGTGGTCACCAACATGGCCGTTCTTTTTGTGTTCTGGGACACCAAAATTGCGGACCTGATGTCATGTGAAAACACTAATTCGTTCATTAAACTTACAGTTCATGTTCGTCAACTTTGCAATTCTCAGAAGCGCCTTATATTTCGAACTCGATAAGAAGTTGTAGTTGATTTTAAGCAACATGTACTTTAACTTACCTGCGTACATGTCATACAACCGGTTTTTTACCCTGATGTCACGAAGATTGCGATTGTCTAGTAAGGTCGATTAATCAACCGTCGAAGTTCCTTTTTTTTTGGTCTGTTTTTTGTTAATTTAATTGCATTGTATTTTTCTCAAAAATACGTTTCTTTTTAAATACTGATAACTTTGGCTCTAATAATAGTGTTCAAGGCAAATTCAGTATCATGTAGAGGTCTATGAAAACATGCATTTTGTTTAAGTGACTAAAAGTATTAAATATCGCAGTATTCCGTGACGGAGGTATAGCAACTTCTATTCCTGTATTCCTTAACTGATTTTCTAAACTCATGCTATATGATTACAGCAGTACTTACCGCTAAAAGAAGTAAGAGACGAGTATCCCTTTAGCAGATCGTATCCAGACTCGGTGTGGAACTGTTCAAACTCAAGTTGGAAGGCCTGTCCAGGATTAATAGCCCATACACACGTAACACTGTTGGGATAATCGCTGGGATAGTTGGGTGACATGACAGTTTGATCGAGTGCCGTGATTAAACCACCACACGCTGAAAGGAAAGGAGAATATTTAGACCAATTAATGATTCGCTCTCCAAGACAGTCTTGCATACTGGATTCCACGCTGTAAATTCCGGATTCCAGGTACTGGATTCCAGATTCTCAGACAGTGAAACTTGGATTCCGAATTCCAGTCTCTAGTGGAATTCCGGATCCTTTGAACTGTATTGTGAATTCCAAAGCAAAAGCAGGAATCCGGATTCCAGGAGCAAAATTTCCCGGATTCCGGATTCCACCAGCAAAAATTTACCGGTTCCTGGAATTCAGATTCCCTTTGATGGGGCGAAATGACAATAAGCTTCGCTAATGGTATGTTTATGACTGATAATGTATCCTTCTTTCTTACGTTTCGATGTCTAGGGAAAGGAATTTCAGTGAAATGTTAATATTCCACGGCACATAAAATCTTCAAAGATCGACGGGAAGAAGCTGTTATCACAATTTTCAGGGTTTTTGACATTGACATTGACTTTTGTGGAAAACAAACAAACAACAAGAACAAAAAAAAGGGGTAATAACTGAACTGTGTGCTAGGAAAGAGTCAAGAAGGTATCCATACTAAGCAAAATCCACTGCAAATGATAACAAATACCAAATTCACGCTGTTTTCTTTTTTTTTTTCAAGCTGAGCGGCCAACAGATTCAGTGGGGGCGTGATAGGCACAAACATTTTTGGAATTCTAGGGGCTATAACTTTGTTTCCTTTAAAGGCATGTTTTTGAAATTGATACAAGGAACAAAACTTGATTCCAGCAATATTTTGGATTAAGTGTTTCTATGGTTACCAGTCACGTGACTCTCTGGTGGCCAATTAAAAAATCAAAACTTCCAAAAGTTTCTCCTTCAAAAGTTTGGAACCTGAAACTGTGATACTTTGCAGAAATACAAAGCATACAGAATTGAAGAACGTGTCTGATTTGAATTCTCAAATTTCATTTTTGTGACGTCACAACTGATGACGTCACAAAATGAGCCTTTTGGTGATGCGCAGTACTAATCCAAAAAATGAAGAATTTGACACAATAACTTGAGCAAAATACAATTGTAAAAGTCTCAACTCATTGTCTTCTACAATGTAAGAGATATTGGTAACATTCCACGCATATTTTAAAAGAATATTTTGGAAAAAATTTGGCCGATTTTTAGCACTCTTTTTTCCCAGCGTGATTCATGATTTGCAAAATATAAGTATGCCTATCAAAGAAGGGCTGTCATAAGTTAGAATGGCACAGATTATGAAGTAAGGTATGGTCTTTTAAAACGTTCTAGAGCACCGCCCGTGAGATCCACATTCCTGTACCTTGAATTGCAAGTTTTTAGGACAGAACAGACCTAGAATGCCAGCAGTACTAGAAAGGCCCAACTATAATCGAATCAGCTGAGCCAAATCAACTTGGATCATACAGTTTCACATTTTTAAAATGACTTGGCTCATGCAAGAAAATAAGACAACAGAGGAACAGTTGTTTTCAACACAGTTGTGGTCAAAAATATACTAGGTTCTTGTCGATTCAAAAATTCATATTCATATTCAACCATGTTTATTAAAGGGGAATGGCAATGAAACCCGTTAGACTCCTTTGTTTTATGTTTTGTTTTAGCTTTTTTGGACCTGACCGTACACAACGTTCAACAGCATTCCTATCTTTTGAACTTACTGACCAATAGACATCGCAACTTGTGAACAAAAAACAAAGGATTGTGCACGGTCAGGGAGCTTCCAACATAAACTACAGCACCGTTGTTTTCAACTGTGATGTTTGTCGGCTTTCATAACCAGTCTCCTCTACTAACTATGATTCAACGTTGTAAGAAATGAAATACACTATTTAAAATGTTACTCACCTGGGGCCCGTTTCTCGAAAGTCCCGGTAACTTTATGGGCCCGAAAACAAATATTCAAATCGAAATGTAAAGAAAAAGAGCGCGGGTCCTGGCTAGCAAAACTACTTCATTTTGTTTCATTGACTGACAGTTTTATCGTGTTAGATGCAAAACCATTGAAACCTCGATCTTTAATGTAAACGGAGACAGCTTACCGGGCCCGTTAATTATCGGAACTTTCGAGAAACGGGCCCCTGGATATCCTAGCGTTGAATTTTTGGCAAAAAGAAAATAAACGTACGCATGGCTATATGATTTTACACGTTTAAAGTTTACCATCAAGATCATGGGTTAACATACAGTTGGTTCTACTTGGATTATCATGACATCTGAAAGTCACTTAAAGTACTCCGGGTCTGGAAAGGTATTAGCGGGATACGGGATGTGACCAAAATACAATGCGGGATTCGGAAAACGTTAACGCACGGTATACGGGATTTGACTGCAACCCGAGAAACGGGATTCACCAAAATCTGCGCACGGGATGTAAACTCTAAGTACTTTTGTGAGAACTGTCAATCGGAATTTGATTTTTACTTACTGACTTGCTGGTAAGAAGCGGAAAATCCCTCAGAGTTTTCACTAGAGTCGGAGATAAACCGTATGTCGATAGAATTGCTCTCAGATGCAAATGCCACAGCACTGCTGTAAACTCCAGAGAGAGTTGTTATAAGTTGTTTCGATGAACCGTCGTAAATCTCGACCACATCGTTACCCTTCTGCGTCTTGAATGAATTGAACGTTACCAAGACTTTCTTGTCAGCGGGTACGCTTATCTTCCAACGACAGTAAGCATTGTCTGGATAACTGTTGGGGTTGTTTGGTGAGCCAAAGCTTCCTGAAGGACCAACAAGGCTGGCACCGCAGGACGCAACTGCGTAGTAATTTTATTTTTGAAAAAGTGAGATCACAAGGATTAAAGAGTAAGCAGCGACGGAACTGTGGTATGGTATGTTGCTCAAGGGACAGCAAAACGGAAGCCATTGAAATTAGTTCTATCAGCGGTGTCCAAGGGAAAAAAATTAATCGGTCTTCAGAAGATAGAAAACGTATTTTGTTGCTGGGATGGCCCTACATTTTGCATTTAGTGATCCCAACAATCAAAGACTGACATTACTGATATAAAGAGGACGCGATGATTATGGCAACTGATACATAAAAAACAAAAAAGAAAATATAAAAAAAAAAAAGATATACAAATTTGGCAGCTCTGTTTAACAAAACTGAAAAGTTCATGCCGCTTTGAATGTTGAAATAGGCTATATTCCGTTCAACAAGTTCTGGCTGTTTGGACAATTAGAGCTCCAATACTCGTGGATCAACATTCCTAAAACGTATGTCACTGACGTTGAAAGAATTGAGTATCTCTGTAAAAGGTAATGCTTCAGTTCCTACGCAATTAACTTACCAGTACAAGAGGCAACTGAACCAGACCATGATCCATCCAGCTGACATGTTCGAGTTCTGGAACCCGACAGCTGGTAGCCTGGGTCGCAGTCGTAAATTATAGTCTTGCCGTAGGTAAATTCAGATCCTACTCTCTCTCCATTGGCAGGAGTACCAGGGTCACCACAATTGATAACTACAAAATGATAACAAAGGAAACAGTTAATAATATCACTTTGGCCGGTTGACGGGCACTGATCGGTGATTTGTATTTCATTAACACTTGTTGTTTTTAAGGCATCTCGCCACAAGCTGAAAAAAGAAATGAAATTATCAATGTGTTTGAGAGTTATCGACAAATGAATAGCTCTTGCCGCAAGGTAAGCCAATTTGGCTTATTGACAGGTTAACGAATTTTGCTAATAAATCCAGAAGTAATTCTGTGAGCTCGAGAAAGACGAGCGAATTTCGACGGCTTACAGAAGATCAGTCATACCTTTTTCAAAAATTCAACAGTTTTTACAATTACGCTCACTTCCTAAGCCTACCAAAGAATCAGCACGCGATGCAGGAAATTTGAGTGCTACTGGTGGCTGTCGTTTGTAAAAGCACTCATGTATGTTACATTCTTAACAAACGTAACCTAAATAAAGCTTTCCACTTCACACTCGTCTCAGTCCCTCTCAGTTTTCTTGAGGTTCCTGGGCCACTTACACGTACTAAGGTTTACAGCACACGCAGATTCGTATCTGTCTAAACTGTGCAGGATATGCGTAAACAATTATGCAAAAACTACTTCAGTCAATGAAATATACGTACTTTGGCAGGTTGGTTGTGTTCCATCCCAGTTATTGTCTGTTTTGCATGTTCTGGAGCTGGATCCAACAAGATTGTAACCTTCATTACAGGTAAAGGTAACTACGTCACCATATTGATAGTTCTCGCCAATCTTCTGTCCGTCGGTAGGTGTACCAGGGTTACCGCAGGAGTTCTCTGCCAATAAAACGACAAACAAGATTCAAAATATTACTTTTTGAGAACTCATGCAGATTTTACAGCTGCCTTGTTTGTCACTAATCTATACGAAAAATTCAAAACAACCGTTAGGCAGGTTGCATATATTATGGTACAAAAAAAAAACGGTAGGACAAAAATGCAACAATAAAACTAAAGAATGGAGCATGCAAACTCTCAAAGGTGAATCCCAGTAACTTAAACACCTGACTTTTGAAGGAGAAAGAGGACATTCAAACCATACCAAAATGATTTCGGTTCAATTACATCGAGAGTAAAAGGCATAAAAATCATGCCTCTTTGATGGAATATAATCCAATGAAAATCTTGATCCACTTTAATTGCTAAAAGTCAGTAATTTTACGAGCCTCTAGCTGTGTGAAAACGTTTCTCACCGAAGTCAGGACGCCTGGCAAATGCCCAGCAATAATAATAATAATAATAATAATAATAATAATAATAATAATAATAATAATAATAAAGGGTTCAAGAAAAGCGAAAGAAGCGGGTAGGAAAGAAAACGCAAGGTTAAAGGCGAAGAACGAAAATTTCGTTTGCTGCCCACGCCCAAACTCTTAAAGTGTGGAATTCATGCATGCTTTGAAAAGCAAAGACAGGGGCACCCAATGGATCTGTTCCTCAAAATATCTGTTCTTCAGGCACATTTTTGCTGGCTGGGAGATGTGGAAGAAATAATAGTCCTTGGAAGGAAAGTATCGCTGGGAAAAAGATAATTCAGCGTGTTAGAGGGGATTTGAAGTCTAGAATAGCTGCTACGGGTTACTTGTATGGGTTATTTACCACTCAAGATCTGAATTGTGCGCTGTGACACTTCCCAGTAAGTCAGGTTGCAGGTTGTAAGGTTGCTGGCTGGGAACTCTTCCATCAGTCTTGCTGGGAGTGAGGAACAGATAATTTTTTTCCAGCAATCTCCCAAAATGCTTAAAATAGTCTCAGACTGACTTTATTCACGCTTTGTTGTTGTTTTTAGGTCTTTTTCTCAAAATTTCCCGTTGGGTGCCCCTGCAAAGATAGATTAGTAATAGACTGTGAACAATTTGTTGGGCAGTGTTAGCTGTTGTTTTTACAATTTCTCAGAAAGTGGTTCGAACAGCTTTTTTAAACGATGCTTTTCGGCAAAATGTATATTGGTGAATAGATCAACTTTTTACAAGCACTTAGAACTTACCCAGACAAGCAGGTTGTGTTCCACTCCATAACTCATCTGCCTGACAAGTTCTCTCCTGTGAACCTGACAACTTAAAGTTTGAGGCAACACAAGAATAGGTTACCTTGGCGTTGTAAGAGTAGTCTGTACCGTGGATTATGCCGTTAGGTACTGCTGGAGGGGCACCGCAATTTACCACTAGAAAAAAATAAAAAAAAATAAAACACATTTCAGTAAGCCATTAAGACATCCACTTTTTTGACTAGGCAATTATCAAAGGCCTGAGAGTAGTTGAGATGGATTATTAATTTCATTACGTTTTCCACGGTCGCCACTTTTTTCTTTACAACATTTTAAAACAAGGAAAAAACCGTCTCTAAGTTGCCTGTCGTTTTATATACCGTAAAATTCCGAAATAAGCCCCGTGGCTTATATTTTTTTTCAAAGGCCTTTTTTGAGGGGTTTATTTTTGGAGGGGCTTATATACGGAGGGAAATTTGCGTTTCGAAAGCGATTGGGCTAGCCTTATAGTTGGAAGTAAATTTACCGTTTTTGCTTTGTTTTACTTTGTATCTGAGGGCAATTTTCCAAGTACAAGCCCCCGGGAGGCCTATGTTTGGACGGGCGATTTAACGGAGGTTTTTTTTTTTGGGGGGGGGGGGGTATATTTGGGGGGGCCTTTAAAAAAGGGGGGCTTTTTTTGGGAATTTTACGGTATCCTCCCCCTATTTGCTTATGGGCTTCAAGAGGGGTTTTAAATAAACGAACTACTTCCCAGACCTTTGGTACTTTTTTGCCAATGTAAAGCAACAAAGTGCCAGCTTCAAGCAGGCTTTTAAAAAAACGAACTGATTTCAAGAACCTTGGTAACTTTTTGACAATGAACAGAAACCCAGGTGCCTTTTAAAAAAATAAATTCAAATCCGAAAACAAAAAAAAAAAAAAACTGATGGGGCGTGGGTGACGCAGGGGAATTTTTTGCTTTTTTGGGCAGACGTTTTTTTTAGGGGGGGGGGGTGCGGGGGTGGCAGTCGTCTCTTCAAGCTACTTAGCAATTTACATTTGTAGGCTTCAAGGCATATAAAAAAGAAAAGTGCCTTCTGACTGACGTGTGTCGCTCAAAAACGCCTTTGTTTAAGCTCTCTAATGAGAGCTTTTACTTACGGGTACAAGAAGGGGTTGGCGAGTTCCAGGCCCCACTCTCACAAATTGCATAAGACTGCCCAACCAACTTGTAACCAACATCACATTCATATCGAATGGTGTCACCATTTTTCCGCTGGAGTCCAATCAGTTGACCATTGGATGGGACTGAGGGCTCAGGGCAGTCAGCAGCTATAAAAAAAGCAAAGAGAAAAGAATAAGCAAAAAAAAAAAAAAATAAAATAAAATAAAATAAATAATTCTCTAGGTTTAGCTAACTGGGACAAAAAGAAAATCAAATCTTACAGGTCTGTGACTTAGGCAGTGTACAAAGCCGGTTACAGCTATTTTGAGAAAGGTTGTTGGAAAAAATGTGCACGCGACAATCCCGAAAGGTAATATTGGATATGATCGATACACTATTCCTGGCCACTGTAGCTGTCGAAGCTACTTTTGTTGCTTTCCTTTAGCACTCACAAACACATTTCCATGGCCTTTCGTGCCACTTCTTTCAAATTTCTCTGAAGAACAGTGAACTCAAACCACCCACAATGCCTTTCGGGATTGTCGCGTGCACTTTTTCTGACAACCTTTCTCGAAATAGCTGTATATAGTGCACTAACATCTTGGGGCAGTGACCATGTTACCTTAGGAAGCCTTTAGAAAGCAGTGCTATATTTTTCAAAATTGCAGTAGATTCGATCCCAGGTTTCTGTAAAATATTGATTCAACATTGTATATAGCTCAGAAACATACGATGTTGAAGGCAAATTAAGTTCATTTGCGTGGAATTGTTCTTTTCAGGGTTGTTAAAAAGTGCCGCAATATGCAAATTTGTCCCAATACTTCTCAAACATGATAGTAATTTTCAACATGTCCAGCTGCACGACAGGCTGGTAACGTCAGTCGATCGTGAAGAGTTATGTTCTTTTTATTTCATTATTACTTGTGAAGTTGCTGCACAAATGAGCGTTACACGGAGTACCGAAATTATATTTGGAAATTCTATTTACTTCCCAGCTGTCGGTAATTAACAACCGGGGTTATTTTGTCGTTTGGTGAACTTGGCTTTGCCTTAGTAGCAGTCGTGGATAAGGCTGGAAGTCCGTTCACCTTAAGTGGCAATTTCTCACTAGCTGGCTTTGCTAACGATTCTATATCTTGTCACAAGGACGTTTTTATCTACTAACTTACTCCCGTTTTTCAAAACGTCGAAAATAAGCCCCAGGGCCTATGGTTTTAAAGGGCTCCTCATTATTCAGTAAGGCTAATTGTAGGAGGCCTATATTTTTTTGCCAAATTTCCAGGTTTACATTCAGAGAGGTTGACTTTGGCTAGATTTATCCCAACTTCCCGGACGTAACGATTCTAATATTAACCAGATTCAGCAGAAACAGCTGACGACAACGACGACGGCTCGGGCAGCCCTTAAAATCGGATTGACCAATGTCAGAGAGGCGAATTGAGCACCATAAGTCGCATTAGTTTCCTTCCGTGTCCTTTGAGTTCTCACTTGACGTTGTATTGTCTTTGAAAAATCTGCATTTTAATTCTTCCGACGAGCATTCTTTCACCCGATGTTTCATACCTATACAGCGAGGATGTTCTCCGCTCCATGTTCCGTCGGCCTGGCATGTTCGTGTTGCCGATCCAACTAATCTGAATCCTGAGTTGCACGCATAGGAGACGACTGAATTGTAATTGTTGCTAGCAGTTGTGGTTTTTGTGCCGTCCTGCAGTTCACCAGATATGATGCATTTTACCACTAACCAAAGAAAAAAATAATAACAATAAAAAGTCAGCTCGCTCGCTCAATAATTCATTCGCTCATTCGCTCACTCACTCACTCACTCACTCACTCACTCACTCACTCACTCACTCACTCACTCACTCACTCACTCACTCACTCACCCTCTCACTCACTCACACTTATTCTTTCGTTCTCTCTTGCAACATAAATTCAACGAAACCACCCCGAATACCATTCTTTATTTACAAGTTTTTCTATAAATGTTTATTTTTTTTAGGAAACTGCCTCAATCTCTGCACACCTTCGAAAAAACAATACAACAGCATCGTTAGTTGTCTGCAATAATTTCGTAAACCTCACCATCACAACGAGGTGCGCTGCCAGACCACGTGTTATCAGCCAAGCAGGTTCTTGTGGAAGCTCCCCTGAGGATGTAACCTTGGTTACACGAGAATCGTACCGTACTACCAGTAGTCGTTGCTGGGCTGGCAGGATCAAGAGCTCCATTTGCAAAACTTGATATCGCTGGACACGAATTCGCTGTTTTTGAAAAAAAAAAAAAGAAAAAAGGAAAAGGATGCATGATTCAGAGAGAGTTAATGCAGTTAACTTCTGTTTTATCATGTCGCTGAGCTAGTCTGGTATATAATTGGCCAAATTTCGGATCATGACTTGCTGAAGAATTTTATCCCTTGTCTTCAATTTGGTGGCTACAAACACGTTTTTCTTGACAAAAGTCTATCAAAATTTAGTTAAGCTGTTGATTTTAAACTGTAAACTTCTTCATTTACGCTTTTATTTGCTTGCTCCAATAATATTACTACTAACAATAGCAGTACTAATAATCATAATCATAATCAGTTACAGAGTGAAATTACTTGAACCATGAAACAGATAATAAAAACTAGCGCAAGATAGCTACAAATAAACGTAAAAAGACAATATAATTAGTGCATAATAGTGCGTAATATTCTACTACATATTTCGCGGGTTAAGTAAAATCACTCTAATCATAGTAATAATCATAATCATAATCGAAATCATAAATTCTTAAAATAGTATATCCTTTGTCCAACGCCTATCATACACATATTTTAATACCCTGCCCCTGGCTAGCGTTCAGGTCCTAGATAGGGGCAGGAGGCTCGGTCTGTGATTTACAGACCCGATCTCAAGATTAGCTGATAAAATATTGGATTCTTGAAAGGTCTTATGCATATGGCAATTTGTTGCAATTGATTTGCATTTTGATGAAACAAAGAAATATCATTTGAATAAAAGCTCTAATTCAGGGGATAAAACTGTTCTTTCGTAACAAGAAAATAAACCTAAACAATGAATAGCCGCTGTGCGCTGGGTATTAATTCGTGTAGACCTTCCCATAAGCATTTTATCTAAAATATAACCTTTAGTTATGCACATGTCTCGGATCTGGCATTTTACAAAATTTGGATTTTTTCCTTTTAAAAGAAAAGTGACTGCGCTCTTTCGCTAACTCTCGACAGCAAGTAAGCGCTTCTGGACTCCTTGTTCATATTGAATAACTCACCTGCGCAAGTTTTTCCGTCACCATTCAGCGTGTATCCAGCGTTACAGAGACACTGATAACTTAGATAGGAGTTGACGCAAATATGTTCACAGGGTCCTAATCCTCCGTTAGTAGAGCACTCATTATCGTCTGTTAAAGTAAATAGATTAATAAATAAATAAATAAATAAATAAAAAGAACTGTTTAAGGTCTAAGTCTACTTTTTTGATATAATCGTTCCGTGTTTTTACAAATGCTTACAAAACTTCTCTTAAAATGTTAAGCAGTAGTTTGCGACTTTTTGATAGCCTGTATTTAAGGTCTCTTTCAGGCTCTCCAGTAGCACTACACCACAGCAGACTCGTTTCTAAATGTGTTCTTATTCTTTTCCTTTTTCTCTACAAAACTCCCTTTGCTTCAAATAATGTAATTATGTCATATCATTTCCTATGTTTTACTTTAATGAAACACCTTACCTTCACACGAGACACCGTCGGACGAAAGCGCGTATCCCGATGAGCAGGTACAACGGTAGCTGCCATCACTGTTGTGACAACTTTGCTGACAGTTTCCGTTGTTGAGGGAACATTCGTTGATATCTGAAAAAAAAAACACCTCATTTTAAGGACAGTTCAAGCCTATAAACCGCATTTTTATACTATCGCCCTTAATTTGGAAATGAAGGCCTTTGGAACTTGGACACCTACCTGCGCATGTTTTTCCGTCTGCATTCAGTGAATACCCTGAATTGCACGTGCATTTAAAACTACCGTATGTGTTTACGCAGCCTTGTGCACATCCTGAGGTCCCTTCAGTACACTCGTCAACATCTAGAAGTCAAACAAAAAACCCTTGAATTGCCAATAAACTTAATTTTGCTACGTCTGGGGGTGAAGGTCGGTGAAGAATAACTTCGTTCAAAACTTAGAAGTTAATGTTATTAACCGTGAAAGGATGCCGGGAAGACAAACTAACAAAAAAGAAACCAAACTTTGCCTACCCTGGATGGTACTAAAAAAGAATGATGATGCAACAGGTGCCAAGAATAATTGTACGATGACGTCAATTCACTAAAACTACAAGAATCCTTTGCTTTTAAGTGAAAATTGAAGCTTTAAAACAAAACTTAGCGAGGTTAACAAATTTAAATGAGCAAATAGAAAATAATGTGTATTTTCAGTTGTAGTCAAATGAAGTCATCGTGAACATGGCCCATAGTGATAGAGCTGATACTGTTTAGCATGCCGGAAAATTTCGGCTTTTTAAAAATAACCAAACGTAATGAAGCCCACATTTCACAACCGATCATTTCTTAATATTCTAATCTATTTCCAGTACTAGCATGGAAAAAATATAAATAAAATGAAGAACGAGACGTATACTAGGCTGAAGAGTGACATTACTATTTGAAGTGGGGGAGGGTTTATAAAGACTGATAGAACGGTGCTTACCGATGCATTGCGGGACTGCTGCGTCATATTTTCCATTAACACAATTCAGTGTTGCCGTTCCGCTTGCCCTAAATCCAGCATTGCATGTAATTGTCATTGTTCCTCCATGCGAACGGCTTCCACTATGATGACCATTAGCTATCTTACCAGTACATGGGCACTTCACAGCTGTGGTGTAAAATTAAGTGAAAATGTTTGCACAAAAACTTCCAGAATTCCTTCTCTTTAATAGACCTATTCGGCTAACTCAATGTTGTACCCAATTCAAATCTCCCGGGGTCAAGATTCTTTGTGTACTGTATTTGCATTATAATGTTGCATTCACATTTAAATGATATGGAAATTCCTGAAACAAAACGTTTTATCCCCAAAGGGTTTGAATTGGATACAACATTTAGTTAGCCGAATAGGTCTATAAGTTAGACGGAAACGAAAACTTTTAATCTATTTGGGAAGTTAATTTACCTTTCTTGTCGATTCTAAGTTAAAGAAGAAAAAAATGTGGAATGTAGTGCAGAATCGTATAGCCTGAAAAAACAGCAGACATTTGGCGACGCTACTGCTGGTTTCCCCGCCAAATGAAGTCTGAGAAACGAGCGCAGAAATTCCTTACTGATGACCCGAAACCACCCAGATCTGGGTCGTGCCTCTGATTAGTTGAAGCAAATTTACCAGGCGGCACGGCCAATCAGAAGCACTACCCAGATCTGGGTCGTGCCTCTGATTAGTTGAAGCAAATTTACCAGGCGGCACGATCAATCAGAAGCACTACCCAGATCTGGGTCGTGCCTCTGATTAGTTGAAGCAAATTTACCAGGCGGCACGACCAATCAGAAGCACTACCCAGATCTGGGTAGTGACGCGTCATCAGTATGGGATTTCTGCGCTCGTTTCTCAGACATCATTTGGCGGGAAAACAAGTGGTAGGGTCGCCAAGTGTCGGCTGTTTTCTTAGGCTAAAAAGTAAGAATCGTATGGAAGCAAAATATATGAAATCTAAAGATTTAGCCATACTTTACGAATAATTTACTTACATAAAAATAAAATCGTGTATTGCCAAACGCGAGGGTAACGAGAAGGGGAAAAATAATAATAAAAAGAGGTCTAATTAGCATAAAAAGCAACTTTACACGTGCAGCACACTTTTTTGTACATTTCTTTGCCGTTGTTGTTGCACGACTGGAACCTAAAACTTTCTAGTTTCACGTTTTATGGAGGAAATGTATGTTTTCACAAAGAAAAATTGTTTTTTTGGTTTTGGCTGTTTGATTTCCTTTCCACTGCGGCTAATTTTCACCTTACTGGCCACTAACATTTCTCATTTTCTTACCACCGCTTTAAATTTTTAGTGTTGTGTTTCTAACAAAATTCGTCTCCTTGTTTTTTAATCTCTCGTTCTAGCTCTTTCTCTGTTATCCACGTCAGCGTAAACAGTAAATTTAGTCGAAAAAATGACCCGGCTTTGTTGTTGTTTTTTCTCTCTAAAAGTGCAGGTGGCGAAGATGACCATAACATGGACGTCTGTCATCAAGTTAAACACAGGTTGCAGACTACACACAGAGTAAAAAAGGTCATTTCACTTTGGGTACCCTGTGGTGCGGAATGACGGGCGTTTTGCCACGTGGCTGCCAAAATGTCTCGGATGCATAGATAACCAAATTTTCTTACTCATGGTGCTCTGCGATAAGTGCAATAACTTTTATTACTGATCATAGCCCTTGGCGTCGCACTGATAAATGTGGATACAGTTGTTAGCCATTCCAAAAATACTGATTAGGTATCTAAGCTATGGCGGTTAGTTCAAAGTGCTTGCTTTAATAATGCGGATAGATGAAGTTACAAAATTATCCTCCCAGCTCTCCCTCGCTTGAGTCTTTGTTAACTTAACTAGAAATAAAAAAAGAATGCTTTGTTGCCTAAAGCTTGGGATCAATGTTTTTGTAAGGCTTCCTTATACATCGAGAATCAACGCAAGTGTATGGCTTTTTTTTGTGGAGGCTTAAAAACCTGCCTGTCATATATATATTTTTTTAACTCAAACGTTACTTCTTTGGTTTCGATAGAGTTTTAACATTCAACAAACTTCTTAACTATCTAATGCACCTGTTTCACAGTGTCTTCCTTCGTATCCGGCATTACATTTACACTGGTATCCAACTGGTAGAGCTTCACATGTTCCATGGGCTCCACATGGGTTTGAAGCACAAGCAGTGTTCGCTGTGAACGTAAGTCATACATTAAATTTATATGCAAGTTTTGCGAATGCCTCGTATTATTCAGTTCAAAAAGGGTCGAGAGGAGGAGGAGGATTCAAAAAAGGGGCTCAGATTAGGGGAATCCTAGTCTTAGTCAAACTCCGTCTCAAGCAAAATTTTAACATTTTGCACAGAAATCATTTAAAGAGGTGATCAGTCTAAGGCCTAGGCCAAGCGTCGATCTTTTCATCAGAGGAACCAAACTTAGTTAGTTCGACGTGTGGCTCAGTTGAGTTAGTCTGAATGATTTTGGATAGTCCAACCCATTCTATCCATCTGCTTCAGACGGACAGAACGTCTGAAGATCGTCTTCTGGACAGAACGTCGATCTTCAAATGCGACAAACTCAGCTAGTAATTATCAATTTGTATGAAAACTATATTTAGCCTCGTTCGGGAAAGAAAATTACAAAAATTGCTTTTTGGTCTGATTAGGTTGAATGGTTCGACGCGTCCTGAGTTCGATGTCTGGCCCAACAGATGCTCTTAACATAATTTAGGTGGATCCAAAGAGTTTCTTTCGTCTCCTGAAAAGTTTGTCGTCTGGCTTAGGCCTAAACAAATGACGGAATTGCAAGAAGCTAGTTTCCACCTTTGCACGTGAAAAAAGAAAAAAAAAAGAGAAAATAGAATGATTTACATAATGATACAGACCATAGATGCGCGTATAAACAATACCAGTAAAGGGATTTCTAGCTTACATGGGCAGGTGCAGACGTAACGAACTTTGAAATCTGGGCAACTTCGATCCGCTCTCTGGTCACTATTCAAGCACGTGATTCCGCTACTTGAGCACGTGGTCTTATTAAGCTCAACGTCAGGCATTGATAGCCCATCAACTGTCTGACAGGCGAAGGAAGTTGGACTAGCGCATGCGCTAGAGCTGGTTTCAGTATCCCCGTCACCAGTTAACGGTGAATCGTTGTTGATCCAGTTGGTCCAGCACTTGTTTTCTGAAAAGAAACCAGATAAAGGAATAAAGGTAGAAACGATCTTATACATAACTTATCTGTTCCAGAATTGAGCCCCCAGATTAAGGCCTGACTTATATTTGAGGTCACTACCTCTGTGTAAATTTGTCTCGTGAAATTTGGCAGCGGTCATACCGGGGGCGTCGAGTTATTTAAGCAATAGACCACACTTTCTATGGGTTTACCGGCATGACAACACACGCTGGATGATGGGAGAACACGAGAAAAGCTGGTAAATCACTCGCCTTCGGCTCGTGATTTACAAGCTTTTCTTGTGTTCTCCTAACATCCCGCGTGTGTTATCTCGCCGGTAAACCTATAGAAAGTGTGGTCTATTGTTTTTATAAAACAACTCCTTTAAGTTTTGTTATCTCACCTGTTCGAGCTACAGAAGGGGAAACTTTCTTGATACCCTGATCTGCAGGATCGTAGAAATCAGACCAAGCAACGACATTTCCAATAAAGTTATTAGCATGCCTGGCCATATCTGCAAGGTCGCTCGCAGGGAGCTCGTAATCCCACACATTCATCTGAGTCATATGGCCTATGAAAGCTTCATTTGCACTGAAGTTTGCAGCTACTTCGTCCTGTTCTTGTCCAAGCACAAAGAAACCATTTGCTGAAATTACCTAAAGAGAATTTGAATGTAAGATAGAAAGAATTTAGTTTTAAGACTTAAAATCCCGTGTTTTTGTTTCTGGCAACTGGAACCTTTAACGGTTTCCTGAAACTAATCTGAATTCAAAGCCGCCTACACTTCACCCTGCTCTAGTGTAACAAACCAATTACATGCTTCGTACATGAATAGGGTGAGGATGAGCGAGCATGATGTTGCTTTGGTTTCTTCTTTTTCTGGATCCAGGAATTTTCAATGGAGTGGGAGGGGGGGGGGGGGGGGGGATTTCTTTTTGTGGTCGATAACTCGATCTCATAGACGTCACAAAAAAATAAAAAAAAAACACACCCCCCCCACCCCCCCTCGTGTATGATACAAAAAAACAATATGTTTTTTTGTAAATGGGGGGGGGGGGGGGGGGGGGGTGTTTTTTTGTTTTTTTTTTTTTTTTTTGGGGAAAAAGGATTTTTGGGGGGGGGGGGGGGGGGGGGGGGGGGGGGACGGTTGGCTGATACCAATTGGCCAAAAAACTACACGTTTACTTTATTTTAAGTTGTCCTACGTTTGTCCCAAAACATGGCAATTTAGAAAGGACGAATAGTCCCTTTTCGAGTTCGCTATGACCGCTAAATTACAGAAGTGAAGACGCATTTTTTACACCCTTAGCCTCAATCTGATGTAATATGTCCACAAATTCCAACGAGAAAAAGACCTGTCTATTACTCTGTCTATTGTGTATATTCAAATCTCAAACCCTTACTTGCCAGAATTTCTGAATATTTTAGTTTACGCCGAGGCTAACCCTGTATGAATGCGTCGTTAATGTTTATATTCAGCGGTAATTTTTAATTTGAAACTGGACTATTGGAGACTGTATAACTGCAAACTCTTGAAAGCCACAAAATAGAAAAATAGAAGCTAACAGAAATACCTTACTAACCTAGTTGGCCAAAAGCGAGGACGGCGTCATTCGTCTAGGGTGAAGTGCCACAAATTTCTCACAATCTACACTTCTTTCGATGGTTCTGCATTAACATGTATGGCGATTGCACGTGTTCCTATATTTTTGGGGACCCACCGTATTTCCGTTTGTTTTTTACTGTGGGGGTGGGCTGTCTACCCCCCACCCCCTGGATCCGCCCCTGCCTGTAAAACAAAAACTTACCCAAAGTTTCCCCAACAGCAGTTTAACCTATGACATTCTCGTTATCAGTCCACTAAGTTACAAGAGACTCTTGAAAACTAATAACAGCTGATGCAAAAGTAACCAATAGTACTTACTTGTCCTGCTTGAAACGCGGTAGTGCTCTGCTTGACGTTACTTCCATCTTTGTACACTTTCCATGCACCTGATGAACTCTGCCAAGTGAAAGCCATGTGATGCCATTTGCCGTCATTTGCTGGTACATTAGTTGCTTCTTTTTCTCCCATAATCCAAATGTTAAAGCCATTGTAGTCGTGAATAACCAGAGCGTTATCCACAATTTTCCCTAATGGTCCAGATGTAAGATATACAGTAAGGTATCTTTAGGTCTGTCCCATAACTCATTTAGATAAATTTTGAAGAAATGAAGGTTTTACTTATAAATACAAGCCCAGTTCGTGTAATAAATCTTTGATTTCGATAATAGCTAGCAAAGGCCGTTGATACGATAGTTTAATGAACAGATCGTCTAGCGGGGAGTATAGGGCTAAAAAGGACAGGTGTTGGCAACATCGAAGTTGAACCCATTTGACCGTAACAGTATCAACTCACAAGTGTAGGATCTGTTCACAGTCTTAAAATACCGCTTGTAATACATTAAATGATAACAGCATGGAATACAGATTCTGGTCTGGAGTGGACGCGCCACAGCTCACTCCACAGAACTGTACCACTACAGAAACGTCTAAGCACATAGAAAGCGACAAAGAACATCTTGTTAACACGTAGACCTAGATTCTTATTTCTTCATATAGCAAAAGCTACTATTTTACTTAAATTAATTGCTGATAGCATTGCCAGTGTGCATATATCCCGCATTGGGAACTTTGCACACTATGGACCTAGATTCAAGTGAAATGATATTACCTCCGACTTCCGCAGCGTAAGAAAGAGGCGTTCCCGGATCAATTTCGGTGTTGGCAACCTTTAGCCAGAAGGCAACGGTAAAAGCTGTCAAATTCTGACGCATCTCGACGATTGATGCCCCACGGCCAAGTGACCTACTGAACTCAAAGTCAAAATCAGTGGACACCTCTGAAACAAAATGAAAATAATTTATTTTTTTATGTTAAGACTTAGAAAAATGAACAGACGCAAAAAATGACGGTTATAAGTTTTTATGGCGTTTTACCCAGAAACACAGTTTCAAAGATTTTTTTTTTTGAACGACCAATCAAATTTCTGGGTCCCTTTTATCGCTCCTTAATTTCTTTAAATAAATTACCAGAAATTTTCAGTCAGATACCTGTCTCGCAATTTGTTCCCTTGAATGAAGGCTTACAATAGCATTTATATCCATTTACTTGGTCAACGCAATTCCCGTTGTTCTGGCATGGTGAGCTGTTGCACTCGTTAATGTTGACGTCACACGTTGCCCCGGCATACCCTGGCCCGCAGCTGCAAACATGACCATAGCTTGTGTCGGTGCAAGTGGCTCCATTCAAGCAGGAGTCTGGAAGACAGCCATTGTCGTTTTTTTCGCATTGATTACCACTGTACCCTGTAGGGCAAGTACATTTGAAGGAAAGGTTTTCGACCGAACATGTGCCACCATTTTTGCAGGGAGACGATTTGCACTCCTGAAATAAGAAAGTAAAGAAATTATCAAATACATGGAGAGGCACGAAAACAACAACAACAACAACAATGTATTTTATTCAAGATCCATAAAGTTTACAATACTTTATGCCCTGCAAATAGCTATAGCGCCAATCTAAAATCGTTATTAAATTGCATATTAAGAAGAAAGGAAAAAAAAAAAGAAATACAACAACACTCAGAAAGAAAAACCCCCAACACAAACTCAATCGCGAGGGTTTTGTTATTAGAGAAAAAAAAAAGGACTAAAATTATAACTGGAAGTATATACAACATATCAGGTTAACTTCTTAAAATATTCTATTAAATAAGTAACATTCAAATAGATATCTTCCTTATCTGGGGAATTAAGGAGTAGTGATTTAATTTTTTTTACGAAAATTAGATAAGTTGAGAGTTTTAACAGAATGTGGAATAGAATTTCAAATAGATACACCAATTCTAGTAAAAGACATTGTGCTAATTAAAGTTTGTTTCTCGTCCTCACATTTGATTGTTGCTCACAGAACGTCCCTTCGTATCCATCAGGGCATTCACAGTCGTTCCCTTCCGGTGTATTTACACAGGTAGAACCACTGGCACACTTGCCGCTGGAACATGTGCTCGATTTCACATCACAGTGCTGACCAGTGTAGTCTGCTGGACACAGGCAAACATACCCATTCACCTGGAAGGAAGCAAACAAAGATCGGCGACTCATCGACAAAATTGTGGATGAATGATCGCACAATCCATCCTAAAGAAAGGAACTTATAAAACTACGTTAGTGACGACAAAGGGAAAGGCAACGACAAAGTCATAAAAGCAATATTAATGGGCAAAAATCAACTTCAAATATCTTTCATGCTCTTGATAAGGGAATGCTCGCTTTTCGTCCAAACTGGCATTATCCTTTTAGCGACGTTTTCTTTTCTTGAAATATACTAGCTTTAGCGAGTCTCGGTGGTTCGTTTGGGCTTAGTGATCTTGTCTCCAAATAAAATCACGGTCTCTAAAATGAAACGTTGTCTCTGCATATGTTTTACAAAGCACATCAAATCTTCCGTTCGAAAAAGAAACCAGCATGCCTATTGGTTGATACATATTTTTTAAAATATTTTAAAATAGTTTTTGATGTCACCGGGCAATAGCTTCTTTTGATTTTGAAATTGTAGATGTGATATGCAATTGAGTATATATATATTTTTTATCATACAGTGTCTCCAATTAGTGTGTAACACTAGAACGACTGACACTTGCCAACTTACTGACTTGCTTAAACGCTATGTTCCTTTGAGAGCTATTTTAAGTATTCCGGGCCTCTTTGTTAACTATTGTTTTTAAGCGGTTTGAATTTAGTATTTTTGTTTGTTTGGCTTGCCAGACGCGTGCTATATCGCACTCGTGTCATTTTCGCACGTTTACCGTAACACACTGCAAGAAACAAAGGCTACTGCGTGCAGGTTACATGACACTTAATTTTTTTCTTATTAAACATGCGCACGTATCTGTAAAATATTGACATGCAAACACTTTTCCCCTTCTTTCCTGTGAAGGAAAGCTGTAACGTTTTACTGCTGTAACACGGGAGGCCTGCAATAAAGAAGCTTCTGGCTTCTGCTTTCATAATATTTATGATATCACCGTTACGTAGCGAAACTCTTACATCTAGCGTAAGGTATGGTCAGAGTTAGATAAGTCTTTCAATACCGACTCGTCATTTCCATCGTTTAGTTTTAAAAAATTGCTCTTCCTATTAGGATTTTCCTACTAAAGAAGAGGAGACGAAGAGGTATCCTTTGATAATGTTTGATTTAGTATTAATTAACAATTAATGAATTAGGCTGAGTATCTTATGAAGAATTATCGAGATCGAGGAAGGTGTTATCCGTCGAGACCATAGGCCGAGGCGGATAACACCCTCCGAGATCTCCATAATTCTTCATATGATACGAAAGCCGAATTCAATAATTGTTTTATTATTCATTCAAAATATTTCCTAGTTTAAAAACATGGCTCAAACATGCTTACCTCCATCGATCCATCGATGTTAAGTTCATCTTCGATAGTGGCGTTTAGGGTTGTTCAGCTCCGCAAATATTCCCGAAATAGCAGATGTCGCCCTTCGAGTTGTCTTCTTGCTGTTCTTGCCATGTTTTTAGCTATTTTTCGCCTAGTTCTTACTCTTGAAACGAGTGAAATGTCCGCCATTTTTCAAGTTCACAACCAAAACAACTCAACCTCGTTCCCAGGTCTTCTCGGTTAACGGTGCATTAACCTGCAAGAACGCTGCATTTTTGACGTCATTTTCTCGCTAAACACAAGTCCTTGCAAATTTGGTCATCAGTAACTGGTTATGGTAAATCAAACGTGTGCTTTTAGCAAATCAGAATCCGGGAAATATTTTGAATGAATAATAAGATTATTTAATGAACACAGATATACCCGTTTGTCCCATTATACCTTGTCAACGCATGTTGCTCCCTTGGCGCACGGGCTCGCTACACATTCATCCTCTTCCACTTCACAGTTAGTTCCTGTAAAACCTGGCTGACACACGCATTTGTAGCCTTCAGCGACTTCAACACACGTAGCGTCATTGTTGCATGGATTCGAGGCGCAGTCTTGAATGTCTATAGATCAAACAAAGAAAAGTGCCGCATAAGTAACTGGGAAATTTCACATTGGTCAATTGCCCTGATGAATTAAAAAATCGGTCAGGGATGTACGCAGGCTTTCAAACAACAATTCACCTTTTAAATTAAAGAGGCTTTGGTCTTTTGCCATTTTTTAATGATTAGGTGCTGAGATGTAGATCATAGTATAACTTAAAATTGGGCGTCTCCTTCGTACGTTCGTTATTCATATCACACTAACTCGTCGGTGTATTTATCTGTTTCTATGGATCACGTACCCACAACTACTACATTACGAGCCGGCGATCACATCGATATATTGCTGGGTGGTGCGAGACAAGGCTGTGATACTTCCACTTACCGATACACTGGCTCGTCGAGGAAGCACCAGTTCCGTAGGTTGATTTGGGTGCTCCACAGAGAAGACATGAAGTTTGTTTGACCCCGGGTTGGTAGTATCCTTTGGCGCAAGGCAGACACGGTTCAACACCAGTCTGGGAGTATGTACCAGCAGCGCAAGGCACTAGAACATATAAACAAACAATATGTGACAATGTAAACAGTTTGAGAGAGGGAGTCATTTTTAGTTACTAACAGGATTGCGACACCTCGTTCACTTCACCGGCTGTAGTTCTATGTGCGGCTATTAAGGTTTGTGTCTCCCCATGTAAGTTAATCCAAGACAGTCTTTTGGATTCCTAATTTTACGCTGTGTATTCCGGGTTCCAGGTACTAAATTTCTTGGTATTTCACACGTTTCTATTGAAATATATGTAAACTTAAGGCCAGAAAGAATGTACAAAGGTATGAAAACCCGAAACTTATTAATAAGAAATAAGACAAAAAAAATTTCGATCTTGTATAAATGTTATTTGCTTAAGATTATATAGATTAAAATAACACACGTTAATATTTTGTTGGCCTCGCATAGTTTATTTGTGCACAAAACAAATCCTAAAAAACTGACGACATCATTCTATATCAGTACCCAATTTCTACATTACTTACTGGAGAAACCAACACTAATTTTCTTGTGAGTCTAGATAAGTGTTTAATCGATAAGGTGGTCTTGAACGACAATTAAAATACACTCACTTCCGCATTCACTGATCGATTTGGAGCCTGCTGCTAAGGTCACTGATGATCCAGGACAACTGTCGCACGTTGATTGACGTACAAGAGATTGATAATAATTGATGGGGCATGGAAAGCAGTTAGCCAGACCAGTGGGCGAGTACTCTCCAGGCTGACAGGCGGCTATTTAAACAAATAGAACGAATTATCCTATGTGAGACTTTTCTCACCAAACCATCCTATCCGAGAAAACTGCGAGGGTGATTTTCGGTTAGTGCTTCTAGCTCAAAAGACAGTGAGACAAAAGATAGTCAATTGTATTGCAGATACTTGGATGGTGCAGTGGTGAGAACAATGGTTCCTAAAAATGTAGCCCGGATGCGAATCGCGGGGACGACGCAATTGTGGATGTGGTTTATTGGCCTGGTTCTCGCCCATTTTTTTAGAGGTGTTTCTATGAGTACCCCGCTTACCCCCTGACATGGGAGGTGATAGAGGAAGAAACATTCTGTTGATGCTTCCATCAAACCAAGTTATATTATCATAAATTCTGCCCCAAAATATTTAATATTTTGTTAAGAAACATGGCCGTCTTGAATGATTGTTTCTTCCTTAAGCTCCTTTTACCATTTACCATGTGCAGCATTGCCGCGTATTGACAACAATATGCAGTTGCTGAAAATATATCCAATACAGTCAACTCTCTCTAAGACGGACACCTTTGGGACCGGCACTAGCTGTCCGTCTTAGAGAGATGTCCGTCTTATAGAGAGTCAAATAGAGGGAGTAAAGAAAGGCAGGGACCAACTCCAGGTGTCCGTTTTACACAGGTGTCTGTCTTATAGAGGTGTCCGTTAAGAGAGAGTCGACTGTATTGTGTTTTTTACTTTTTCGTACCTAAACATTGAGTTATGTTTTTACTTCCGTTGTTCAATGTATAAGTGCTTTCCGGACAAACGATACACTCTCCGAGTTGTCCGGTGGATGGATTGTATGTATCTAACGGGCAATTTGTGCAACTTCCGGCGTTAAAGTCAAAGTATGTTCCTGACGGGCAGTTCTCTAAGAGGGAATAAAGACAGAATCATTAATTCATTCATTCGCTCTTTTGTTCGTTAACGTTATGTATTTGTTATTGGGCTGCCTGAGGTCATTCAGTCGTAAATTCGGTTTCGTTGGTCGTGTCAATCAAAAACTAAAAATTGCTAAATATTAACCCCGATTTACCCGGAGGGAGTTGCCTTTTTCGTTTCCATTATAAAAGAAAATGTTGCATGGTAGCAAATTAAAGTGAACTTGCGCGGAGTCTAAAAGTTCTATTTTTGGCGTCCCAGTCTTCTTTACTGTGCTATCTTTTGAAAATTTTTAATTTTGAAAATGTAGTTTAAGAGAAACTTGACGTTCGATGACTTCATGCCATCATTATCAAAAAATAAGAAATTAATATGATTATAATGGCACAAAATTATCAAAGCTCCAAGTTTCTATTATATTGCTCATTGTTGTTTCAAAATGTAGAAATCATCCTTATTTTATTTCTATGAGCTTATTCAGGGAAAAATGGAAATCCTTAGGGGCATTCCTCTTCTTCCATTTCGGTAACCAGAATTCTTGGAATATGTCTGCGACATTATTTGTCAAGCCACGCTCTTTCCGACGTTTCTTGTTCTTATCGTCACGTTTTTTAGGATAATTATTTTTTTCTTAAATTCTTATATAATTATTTTTCTTAAATTCTTAAATAATTATTTTTTTCTTTAATTCATTAAAAAAGAGCGGCCGCGCTGAATAACATCAGAGTGCTATGCCCATTGATTTGTATTTAATTTTCTATTTGAGAAGAGTTTAGTAAAGTTTGTTTTGTTTCCTCATTAAAAAAAAAAAACAAAGCAGAAAAAACAAAAAATATATATCGTTCCAACCGATCTAGATCTTTTCCTGCAAATGTTAAATGCCCTGAATTAAAAAAGTGCCAACACTTAGAATAAGGCACATGGAGTACTTACGGCATTTCGTATCGTGGCCAAAAGCTTGGTTGAGACCATACACACTGCCATTTACGCACACACCGTAAGTAGGGGTTTCTGTGACATTGTTCAAAGTCATAGTTTCTGATCCAGCATTCATTGATTGCATTGACGGATCGGTTTTCGCATTGGTAACGTTCTGTTCTAGAGAGGTCTTCGCTTGATCAAAGTCATTGTTTTGAGTAATAACTTCCACATCAAGCTCGATTATAAGGACGGGCTATAAAATGAAAAAAAAGAAATATCATTATGTGGGCCAATGTTACGAAACTTTAGCCCCTTTTTCGCTGGTCTCTCAAGGAGAGTAGCCTGTCATTCATAATACAAATCCTCCCGTATTGTTACATTTGACTTATTTTGAAACTTTGAATAGCCGGCGAATTTTACTGCAGTAGCCTGCTCACTAATAACAACCCCGCCTAGTAAGTTTGCTGATACTATCAAGAACACTTGGTTACTTTTTCCGAGAAAATTTTTACTCTTTTTTCTCTCGTTTCATTTAAATGGTCTCAAGATAAGAAAAAAATATGTAGACTTCAGCCACTTTATTCAGAAGAAACGGGTACGTCCACGATGGGCGTATAGGACGCATAAAAGTGCATCTTAGGGACTACGTTTGCATTTTTTGTATTTCGATTTTAAAGTTTTTTGGCGGGAAGATGACGTGAATTTTTTTTGGTAAAGCTCAATTGGTTAAAGAGGTATTAAGCTTTGATTTTTGAATTTCCAGCCATTTTGTTACTATTTTTAGAAACATACGTACATTTCAAGATGCTTTATCTCCTAAAGCAATTGAGCTTTTCCAAAGATGTTTTCACATTTGTTTCTACACGTCACGCTCTTTCAAAATTATTTGTTTGTTTTGCCATAACTTGAAATTTAATGAGTTTTGCTGTGAATCTTGTGAGGTCATTTTCCCACCCTCATCCATTCAATCCTGAATCTCGGCCCAATTTTGCTTTTTAATCCCAAGTCCCGCGCCTTAAATAAGGGAGATCCCGGATCCTGAGAAACCTATTGGGGACGCTCAACTTAGCCTTAAGACCCCAGTTGTTCAAAACGTGGAAAACGCTATTCACTGGATAAATCACTATCCACTAGATAGCGCAATTGATTGCCTGTATACTTATCCACTGGATAGTAATTTATCCGGTGGATAGTGCTATCCAGCTTTTGAACAAATGGGGCAAGGACTCTATTATGCAGCTCACTACTCACCCGTGCAGCTCGACGCTTTCGTCTTTGCGTCTTTCCACATGTGATTTTAATGTTTTCAAGTGCGCATACTCCCTCACGTTGGCAATAGTTAGGATCGCCGCCTCCAAAAATCGCGTTTAATCCGTTCTGGAAATTAATCTTGGCTTGTTCTTGCACTGCAGGATCCGAGCAGTCTCCAACAAAATATTGCCATTCCATGCCCTTACGTGCAGCTCCAGGTACATATTCCTCTGCGGGAAATCAATAAACAACATCAGTCGAGAATATTCAAACAACTCAACATTAATCGATTTCGGCTCATCAGCGAAGAAAGATGCAGGACCACGTTTTGATGAGATCCTGCAGAAATTCGTCTGCCATGGCAACGTGACGTAACGACTTCTCCTCCCTATTCATTTTAAGGTGGCTCGTGAACAGCAGTAACTAACACTTCTCTTTTTTTTTGTCTGCTAGTTTATTACCTGAATGTTTATAGTCAAGCATGCCTGTCAGGATTTGAAAGTAACCTAACATTACTGAAAATGCTTTGATTTCAGGCAAGAATAGTCTTATTATGATCTCTTGTTTCAAGATAATAATATGACGTAAACCTCTACAAAATTGTAAACGGCTTAACGGGGTAAAAGCCTTTTTCATTAGATGTTTTAGCAAAAGTACGGGAACTAGAACAGCTTAGGCTAAGTCGGTCGATTTTTTCATGTGAATACTTTGCGAGCTTAATTCTGGAACTAAACGCATTTCGGTACAATGTGAACAATCCCTTAACCGATCGATTACTGATCAAGGCGAACAAATCTACAATGGACGGGGTAACTTAATTCACTTGGTAGGTTGTTGTATCGATGCTGAAACTTGAAAACTTTACCCTCGAACTGGCAAATATCCTAAGGGTTAGAGATGATTGCCAACGAGCAGCCTCGTGAAGACGCGAGGCTGCGAGGCGGCAGTATAATAAAGCGGTGCGCGAAAGTTCCAAGGCGGAATGAATCTCGAAGGGATGTAACATAAAGTGGTGTAAGGTAACGTTTATAACGTGAAACAGAGAAGAGAATATACAAGAAATATGCTATTTAAAATCAGTATTTCAAATTCTTTATGCAGTAGAACAGATTAGTTCATCATTTTCAAGGTAATTTTTGCTCATGCAATCGAATTGAGTTCAAAATATTTTACCCGAATACACTGCCTGTTTATTCGGCTAAGAAAAATGATAACGCTGCAAAAATTATTGTCGTTGAAGCAAAGTAATTCGGAAGGCATCATCGGCACACCATAAATCCCTTTTTTTCCTGAAAAGAGTAGACTTCCTAAGCGTTAAAAAGAGACCAAATATAAATCTGTTTGTTGAATATTCGCGGACTTATGGTTTTTCGAGCATTCTAAGTTCGCTTATAAAACCACTAAAATTTACGCAAAATGGCCTGTACGCAACTTCGCATAAAAACACCAACTTCATGCACTATCTCGAAAAATATGCCATGTAAAGTTGGGATTTCAAATAGAGCAGTTTAGTTCACATCTTTAAAGGTAATTTTCGCTTATGCAATCGAATTGAGTTCAAACTATTTTTCGTGAATAACGGTAATTCATGACGTTTCTAAACAAACTGAACAGCGCCGGCGTATCGGTAAAATCTTTGCTCTTTGGCACTCAGCGCTAGACTATAACTAGTATATAGCAATGAACCAAAAATCGACTCTGTAGGGGTAACACAATTACTGGCAACCCAGTAGTTCCTATTGTGCCCCACAAATAAGTACGGAAACAAATGATTGAAATAGACACAATAAATTTTGGAGGCAAATCAGTTGGCTATTTTACAAGCGTGACAGAGGAGTTTAAGTGCTTCGATACAGTTTTTGGGATACCATACCGATGTTTTTCAATCACTTGTAAGTTGATTTTATCCTTGTCCGATTGCTACAACATTTTCATCAGTGATTGATTATAAATTGAAGTTTGTCAAAATGCATATTTTAGTAAAATCGATATCACTATGACAACAACAAACAAAAAAACTTTGAAATCGATATAATCCGAATTTTGCCCGATCTAGCCTACGAACCGGCGAAAAATCGGCTTTACAACATTCACTGTTTTGACGTCATGCTAATTTTTCCAAATTAATGCCCACCATACATAACTCCATGACTGGTACATTTCAGTGTGAATATTGTCTAACCGGGTGTTTACCTGTGCAATCCGGCCAAGGCATTTCCCGTGAAACTGTTGGTCGGAAATCCCAGATGTACCAGTTACCACTTGCCTGGCAGATGTAGAAGGAAGCTGGGATTCGAGCAAATTCTTTTAGAGCGTTACACTGAGGAGTACAAGCTTCTCCACCCCACAGATCGGAATGCGCACAAGATATAAGTCCGTTAATTGGTGCATCGTATGGCTTGCAGTTGACAGCTGAATACATATAAAAAGGAATACTTTAGTTTTAAGTTCAAAAAGAAATATTAGGAAGGATCAAACTATTGGCTCGTAGTTATTGTAATGAATGGTGAGTCTTATGTTTGCAGCGGTTGATAACTACAGTACAACCCCGGTAACATGAACTCTGAAGGGACACGAAAAATAGTTCGAGTTAGCGGGGGTTCGAGTTATAGCGGTCGATCTAATCTTTACCTAATGATGTTATATATTGATAATTCGCTATCTTATATTTCAGCACTTCGATATACAGCAGAGCGCAAATTAAACTTATCTCATCAGAAATTGTAACACGTTTATGCATTTTTTCAGATAATACGGGGAAATGATTGTCAAATACGTGATCTGCACGTTGCAAAAATTGTGTTGTGTTAGTTTTAGGTGTTTTACCGATTGCACGACAAGAAAAGCTATAGGGATGGCAGTCGTGGTGAGTTGCAACAACGAGAATTCGAGTTATCGGAGTAAATTTCAGTGAAATGTTGATCAAAGGAAACGAAAATTAGTTCGAGTTAGCGGGGAATTCGAGTTATCAAGTTATCCTAATTAATAAAAGTGACCGTAAAGTAAGGTCAAATCCAAGGGAAATGGGACTTAATCCGGGGACTTAATTCGAGTTAGCGAGGAGTTCGAGTTACCGAGGTCCTACTGTATATGAAAGCGGGGGGGGGGGGGGGGGGGCCCCCCCTTAGGGATGTACGTTTTCAACATATATAAAATAAAAAAGATCAGTAAAAAGAGAAGAAAAGAAAGGGGGGAGAGGTGGTTGATGGGGAGTGTTTTGGGGGGGGGGGGGGGGGGGTGAGGGGGCTGGGGTTGTTTTTAGAGGGGGGGGGGGGGGGGGGGGGGGGGGGTACTCCCTTATAAGGGCTTAATGGGGACGTGCGGCCAGCCAGGGTTTTTTTTCTCGGGATTTTTGTCTTAAACAGGGTATCGAATTTATCATTTTTTGTCTTAATCAGGATATCGATTTATCAATTTTTGTATTAAACAGGATATCTTTTCTTGGACGATAAACAGCAAAATTTTTACAAGCTCTAATGTTAATTAATGTTGACTTAAACAGGGTATCAAAAATCGGAATTCTGTCTTAAACAGGGTAGGAAAATCAGCGATATTTGTCTTAAACAGGGTCAGGATATGAGGGGCCACGCGGCACCTCCCCACCTAGGGATATATCGAGTACCCCCCCCCTCCCCCTGGGTAGCTACAAAACAAGTATATCTTGATGGTTTCAACCCATGTAGAGGCTGACCAACCATTTCGTTTTCAAAACTGACCAAAACAAAAGAAGCTTCTGGAGCTTTAAAAAGGCTTTAGCAAATATTCTTCTTCTGTAAAAACGAAAAAGCGCAGTATAAATCCCAGCATCGTTTACTTACTCGAAACAACGATAATAAATGTGCAAGAGGCATTGTTTCCCACGTGATCGGTGGCATCGTACTTCACTTGATGTTGACCTGTTCTGAAGTCAGACCCGTTGATTGACTCGGTGAATATGGTGACTGCCTGGCCGGAGTTATCACTGTATGTTGGGGGATCCCAATAAACCTTAATGGTTGGCTGGCTGTTCTCTTTCTTAACTTCCTGGTTTTGTGGACAGTAAATTCTGGGAGGTTCATTATCTGAAGAAGAAATTAATAGATTGCAAGTTGACTTACCCTCTAACAGATTTTCAAAATTCAGTTTTTGTTGTTTGGAACGTTTGATATAATTCTTGGGAGACATGTTTGTTTGACATGAAGCAGAAATTTTGTCATTTCTCAAGCTCTACGGCAAGCAAGGACGGGTAATATTAGCTATACGCCACCTCCACATGTCTTATAACGCACCTTATTTCCCCCTAAAAAATTGTGCATAACCTTTGTTTTTCATTAGTCCTGGGTTTTACAGCCGTCCCAAGATAAATTGAAAGCAACGCTTTCGCAAAATTTTGGGGGGCAAATAAGGAGCATTATGGGAAATGCGGAAGTGCAAATGCTAATAAAATAAACTAGACACCCGTGACACAGCCGCTTTAAGAAGCAATGTGGGAGCAATTTAGGTTTCTGGGAAACTGCCCACCTACCCCTCCCCTAAGCCAAGAGTAACACTTACCTCTCGTTTAGGGCAAAATGTTGTTAGGGGAGGGGTACGTGGGCAGTTTCCCAGAAACCTAAATTGATCCGGAATGTGATGAATTGGTCTGAAGTAGTTTTTTAAAGAGGCCTGGGGCAACGGATTATGCTTGGACAATGGTTTGTTGGCTATAACTTTTGACAGGAGGAAGGATTTACTGATTTAAGACTTCCCGCTCACAAGCTACCACTGATCACTTTCCATCTCCAGAGTTACCGCTGATCATCCGGTTCCAGGGGCCCGTTTCTCGAAAGTCCCGATAATTAACGGGCCCGGTAAGCTGTCTCCGTTTACATTAAAGATCGAAGTTTCAATAGTTTTGCATCTAGCATGATAAAACTATCAGTTAGTGAAACAAAATGGAGTAGTTTCCTAGCCAGGACCCGCGCTCTTATTCTTTATATTTCGATATGAATATTTGATTTCTACGTCTGGAATAAATGCAATCGAAGTTTACAACAATATTTTTGACAGTGCTTTGGAAGATATAGAATTATAAATATGTATGTATTTATTGGAAAGTATGGACATTCATTTTTAAAAAAAGGGCTAAATATATTTAAGTCACACTCTTTGCTCTCTTTTCTTTAACCCGTGACCAATTCGTCTGAAAAATTCCAAGTAACATATCAAGCAACTTACTGAAAAGAAGGTTGATACAGTTTAAATTAGTAAGGTCTTTCTACGTCACATTTCTAGATTCAGCCTCGTCCTGTTTTGTTTTTAAACAATAAACCTTTTCTATTTAGGTAAAGCCAATCTTAATACGTAAAGCCGTTAACTTCTTTATGTAATCCATGGACTTAAGGCCATCTTTGCAGTCTCGCTGCATGAACAAGTTAGCCAAGTCTATTAGAAAAATTCATCCGAGCTGGAATTGGTAAAGTCGCATCATTGTGGAAAGGAAAATCGACACTATTAGTCTGAGGCAAATGTTTTGAGAGCATTTTTAATAGACAGTTTCTCGCTTTAGTAGAATCGATGATTACGGTCTCAAAATGAGGTCACGAACGTGGTTTCAAAATTAACACCCTACGACATGCAAGCATGATAACATAAATGTGAATTTTACTTACCAACGATAGTTACGGTAAAAATGCACGATGCTGAGTTGTTGCTTTTGTCTGTGGCCGTGTAGGTAATACGCGTTGTACCTGTGGGGAAGTCGTAAGGGGAGGCGATATTGAGCGACTTAACAACAGTTGGTGTGGCTAATGGATCGTGCAATTCTGCGTTGTCACTGACCATTGGATCGCTCCAAGTTACTGTTCTTGTTGGACGCTCAGGGTCTGTTCCGTTATATATATCGGCAGGGCATGTTATTATAGGTGGTTGGTTATCTAAAAGAAAATATAATCACGGATATATTAGATGACAGGCAATTTACTAAAGGCTTTTAAACTTAGCTACAGTTCATATTTCTATCATTCCGCATAAGCACATAACGACATTCCAGTCCTAGCAGTATGTATATAAATTCGAACCTAGTTTAGTGGCTTTAGCTCTCACTTGTTTCCTGTCGCGATATATACATCTAGCAGTCGAAAAACAGTCTTATGGTTATCAGTGCATTACTGTGTGTGCAAGTAATATAATATACCAGGCAAGACCAGGATCCCCATTAAATTTGCCCTTTTTGGGCATAGACGGACCCAAAGAGAGTAATTGTGCGACGGCACATTCAAACAGTATCGGATTGTCGCTCATCATATTTCTGTTTTTGTTGGTCGTTTGTTAGTGGAGCGTGCTACCAGATTGCTTTCCCACCCACCAACCCTAGATTGTTCTGCATGACGGTGGCAGAAAAGTTTATTATTCTCATCGTTTGACAGGAGCCGATTGCTTGTTTGACTATCAGTTTTTCTTTACAATAAACTTCTCTCTGTGCCAAAACACCAGTTTGCGTGTGATCGTTTAACTTTTAAGGGGCCTGTTGGGGAATTAGGCATTATTGTACACTACAAAAGAAAAAGCAGTACCATTGCAGGATGGAAACGTTCCTTGCCATGTGCCATCTGCGCCACAGGTCAAAGGACTATCTCCAGTCATGACATAACCAACAACACATCTCATAACGCATCCTCGTTGGTAGGGCTGTGGTGTCGTTACACAGTCGACGGGTTCTACTGTGCCAAATGCCAGTGAACGTAGGGCGGGGCACTGACGGGCTGCAAAATCAGCAAACGCAAACCATTAAACATGATACCTTGTGTAAGTGCCTTTTTTATGTTTGGAGGAGCTCTTCCCCTTTAGTTTTCACAGGATATGCGTGTTTTCTTAATGATTCAAATCCGGATTCTTGAGTCCTTAACGATGTGTGCCCTTCTTAGCAAAAATATAAAAACTGATAAAAGAAATTCCGAGAGAAATAATTTAATTATATCTAAACCTGGATTTTAAGTTTTTATAGAACTAAAGATGCGCGTATGCAGTCCAAAAAGTGCTTATGACTAGGGTTTTTCTTGTAAAAAGGTCTCTCACATCTTTTTCGGTTACCGAGAATGGTGCTATCAAAATCAGACAGAGTTAATTTTTATATTTTTCTTTTCGTTGAATGTAACCAATCCACAAGATCCGAGGTTTAAATTAATATCTTGGTTGCTCCCAAGAAAGGTTTTTTTCCAAGAAGAATATCAGCAACCTGCTTTAGTTTAAAATCTTTTCTTATATTTAAGAAACCACTGTTAGGTTGAATAAGATGCCAAAATTCTCAATTTTTGAGCCTTCATAGCTGCTATATAAAGCAAGGAATGAACTTTGATTGTTATATATTACGTGACTGGTGGTCATCTGAGAAGTTTCGTAGCCACTAAACATAACTCGGTCGTGTACAAAAGACCTCAGTGCTATCTCAAATACCTTCGCAAGTGGCTTGAGTTCCTGACCATTGACCATCGGCTTGACATGTTCTTACAGAGCTGCCCTTCCTTTCGTAGCCCACATCGCAAGTGAAAGTACACTGATCATTGTATTCGTACCCCTGCCCTGTGCATGTCTTAGTACCGTGGGCCTGCTGTGGCAATACTGCGCACGTAATGACTGCAACAAAGCATAAAACATATAAGAAACCTTTTAAGCTTGTTGAGATCGCTTTAAACGTTTTTCCCTTTAAAGCTTGCAAAACCGACCCGCTCGGGCGCCCCACACAAGGTAATCTAAGATTCTGGATTTCACGCTTTTCCTTAACCCTTTCACTGCCAGAGTGTTTGATAGAGTTTTGTAAGGTGACTCTAACTCTTGAGTCTGTGGACGAAATTCTATGATGTGACCATTCCAATGAACGTTCCCTTCATGTACTTACATATGGTGCTATTTGTTTCTCAAAATTTTAGAAAATGAAATTTGGAAATTTGGTCGAAATTTGCCTTGGCCACATTTGGTAGTGAAAGGGTTAATTTCCTGACCGGATTCCAGATTCCTTGTCAGTAGGAACTTGTAACACGGATTCCAATCGTTAGCGGGATTCCAGAATCCTTGCGCTCAATTCCACATTATTCAAAGCCCGGGATTTCAGATTCCACAAGCAAAAATTTCGGATTTTGGAATCCAGATTACCGGGAATCCAGATTACCTTGCATGGGGAAATGCCAAATGGGGCGAATTGCATGGAGCGAAATTTAGGGCAGTGGAGTGGTAAGGAGGTGCCGAATATGACGCTTCCTGATGAAACCAAACATGGTATCAGAGTCTCATGACACGATCGTTGATTCACCAAATCTGGGTAATTACAAGAGAACAAGGCAACCAGACCCTTAACACGATAAATAGAAACACTCTATATTACCTGTCCTCTCTTGATTAAAGTACATATTAAATTATTCGCCTTTCATGCTTGCTATTCTGCGGGCTGCAAAAAAAACTAGAACCCACAAATTTCTAGTAAACGGTGTGAAGTGTGGAGAAAAAGAGTTCTAGAGTAATATCAAGTGTTCCGATGAAAGAATTGGCGAAAGTCAGGCTAAGCTAAGGAAAGGATTTTCGATCGAACGAAATCAATACTCACTCTCACACCGTGCTGGTGTACCGCTCCAAGCCTTGTTACTTTGACATGTTCGAGTGCTAGAACCTTCTAGATTGTAACCATCATTGCATTGGAATTCACAGACACTGGTGAAAATATTTCCACAGACAGCCCTGAAAGCGCCGTTTGCTGGAGCCGCTAGTTGTTCACACAGGACAGCTTTATTGCAAATAGAAAACCAGAGTTATGTCTTAAATTAAGAGCAATGAACAATATTAGTATGTGTTATACTATTAGTATAGGTAATAGCATGATTTGTAGTGATATTTGGCATAAATACCACGAGTGATATTTCGAATTTGTTACACGTAATTTCGCGAGCCGTTAGGCGAGTGAAATTTGTGACATTTTTGAAATATCAGGAGTGGTATTTATGCCAAATATCACTACAAATCATGCTATTATTTGTTTATACTACTACCAAATAATGGCAAGATTTGTACGTGATATTTGGCATAAATAACACTCGCGATGTTTCAAAATTGTTTCAAATTTCACTATAATTACGTATAACAATTTTGAAATATCACTCATGGCATTTATGCCAAATATCACTTCTAATCATGCTATTACCTATACAAATTAAGAGCAATGAACAATATTAGCATCTGTAATCATATGGTGAAAAGTGAAATTAGGGAATAATTTCAGGTGCATTTTGTCTAAATTCTAATAATATCATGGATGACAAATTACGCTCATTATTATACGCTGTACTCACTATCTGTCTTCTCATTGGCTAAGAGCCTACAGTTAATTTTGTAAATCAGCGCAACCTACAGATTAGTTAGGTATCTGCTAGCAGATAACTGACTAATCTGTAGGTTGTACTCGCAATGCATGGTTTCCAATAACAATATCAAATCATTTTCCTGGCGAAGGTTTGTTTGTCGTTATTTTCTTCAAAACAATGTATAATAAAACAATTATTACTTTCGGTTTTTGTGATATCCTAAATAATCAAGGTCTCTCACTTACCGAGACCTTGATTATTCTAGATATCACAAAAACCTCATCCAATAATTGTTTACAATAGGCCACTTCCGAGTTCCAAAAATCCTCACTTTCAAAATGAGGCCAAGTGCACAACCTTCCCTGTGAAAATGAGTTTTATTTGTATGAGAATGAAAAATTTACAGTCACGCCTACAGTCACTACAGAATGATTTTTTTTTCATGTTCTAATTACAATCGATCTCAGAGAAAGAATCCCGCGCGTCGAAATACATTTTAAATTTCGGGTTTTTGGGAAATTTGTGCATAAGCCGCTGCTAGATCTAGGTTACTGATTTTTAACACGATATATACCCGTTCACCATGTGAATTACAAAGGTAAAACAGCGGGTGCCTTAGTTGAATTGATGAACGAACACATAAACAGGAAATGATCTCTTGTACCGGATCAAAAACTTGTGAGACAGACAGTAATAAACTGACCCAACACTCATTCATTCTAAAAATAAATAAATAAAGAAATTTATTTATTAATAAATGAATGAATGAAATAAAAAAAATACACTTATAAACACTAAACAAATTCCATTTTTTTGGTTTAGCGTAAACAATGGTTTATAAGCCCCCGAACTTGTTAGCCTCCCCCATCAAGTTTAGACCCATCAACCTGTAAACAAAAATAATACATCTGATTACAAGCCCGCTCCAAATGTACTCAAATGAAATTGATTTATTTTGACGTTTTTCAAAAAAGCTTATTTTTATCAGCAGTGCTATAGATTGATTCGAAGCACTTTCTATTCTGGTTATCTAACAATTATTCTTCGAGCCCTCATGGGTTCTGAGTCAATAGCCCATTCGGCCTTCCCCCTCATGGGCTATTGACTCAGAGGCAGAGGCCATGAGGGCGAGAGAAATAATTGTTTTTGTAAAATCCAACTAGTTGGTCAAAAAAATCGCAAGAAAACAACTTTAGCTAGTAAAACACGATTCAGCCGCCATTATTTTGGTTTTCAAAGCCGGCGCTTTCGCTACTAGTGGGCTATAACATATAGCCTAGTAGTAGCTCAACCAATCAGAACGTAGCATTGATAAAAGACCACTGGTTGGATTTTACTGAAAGTTTATATGCCCTCTGAAAACCCCTTACGAAGAAGTATAAACCCAGAGCTAACAAGTGGCAGTTAAAAGGTACATAAGTTAATTACGTGTGCAAGCGACGCCAGTTTTTGGATTCCCCTCGTATCCAGTCCAGCAATTGCACTCATCTATTAGAATGCTACCAGTATTAGCTGTGGTGGAATTCTCAGGACACGCAGTACACTGACTTGGAGTCGCCCACGTTTTGTACGTGCCGCGGATGCAGGCTAAGGAATAATTAAAACAAGAAAGGAGTTGAGATGAACATAATTTGTATACATTTGTGTTTTAACATCATATTCGCTTAAACGAAGACTTGACAACATCTAAGTGCAAGTTTGCGGACCTCTCCGGAAATCAACTTAAGATTAATTTTAGACTTATAATTGGTCTAAAAATAAGCTTGGTAAAATTCACTGATATCCCAAGGGCTGACTGGTTGTTTCCCTATCTCTCCAATTATTCTCTCTTGCATAAGGCAATGTTACACGGGACGATTCGCAACGACGATTTTTAGCCCAATACAGCGTTGCAATGTTGGAAGAATGTTGGAACCATTCGAATCAATGTCGCAACAATATCGCAACGCTGTGTTGCACTAAAAACCTTCGTTGCGAATCTTCTCGTGTAACATCACCTTTAAGGCCGATTTAGACGGCACGATCATTTGCTTACGACCATCGTGCTCGACCAACATACGTCATGACTTTCGACCATCCACACGCGTACAATTTTCACTTACGACAGCAATTCACACAACACGATCTGTCGTGAAGTCATGACGTATGCTAGTCGCGCACGATAGTCGTGAGCAAATGATGATGCCGTCTAAATCGGCCTTTATTAAACTAAGTCATACGCCTTTCTTACATTTAAGGAGGTATTCATGTAATCCAAGAGATCATAATAGGATCTCTTGTGTAATCCTATCTCAGAAAAATGTCTCTTCAGCTTTGTATGACAGTATACACTATTAAGGTGAGGTTACACGAGCGATTCGCAACGACGATTTTTAGCGCAACACAGCGTTGCAACATTGTTGCAACATTGTTTCGAATAGTTACAATACTGTTCCAACATTGCAATGCTGTGTTGCGCTAAAAATTGCGAATCGTCCCGTGTAACATCACCTTTAGTGTAGAAGAAAATCGCACGTTACTTGTGTTTTTTTGGTATGCACCTGTTTTTTCATGTACTTGGTATTAAAGCGATTACAAAACGCGGGGTTTATCGGTTATTCACACACGGACAGGTGACCTTAGGCCCCATTTATATTGAAAAAAAGTTGTCAACACTAGCGAGCGTTTATGTTAGAAAAAAAGTGGACCTATTTGCTAAAGCAAACCAAGTGTAATCCTTTTACCTGGGATTTTTTTCCATCTCAGCGTGGCCTCCCTACAACAATATTCTCTCCTGGCTGAGTGTTTTTTGTGACCTCCCTAGTATCTGAGAGACTTGCACAGGCCAAAGCTACAGCAAAAGTCATTAGAAAGACTCTTGGGACAAATTTGCATTTCTTACTTTTTTTGACTAAATAGCACATTAAGCAAATCTCCTTCCCCCAACCCCTCATACAAGGTTCTGACCATATATCCTCAATTTCTCTGGACTTGAATGCGATAACTTACGATAGCAATGTCCAGGGGTTCCGGCACCATAATACCCTTGTTTGCAGACGCACTGGTATATTCCACTGACGGTACCGCAGGCACAGAAAGCATTACTATCACAGCCATTGGCCGTAGTGCATTTGCTGCTCGTCACTTCCATAAAAACGTTATCGTGGGCATCTGAGAAAAGGAAAATAGGAAATACCAAAGTAAGATAAGGAAGAAAAAAAGTACAACTTTCTCTTTTTTTCTTGGGTCAAAAATTTGTGATTAGGAGGTTTAAGCAACGACATTTTTGAGCGACGCACGTCAACCGGAAGAAGATTTTTTTGCAATCTTGGGGCATGATGTCGACCACATTTTTGGGTAAATCGTCTGTATGAGAGAAAAAAAAAGTATCTGAGAATACAAAATTGGCAGCGTCATGTCTTATTGCAAGGGAAAAACTACTCACTTCCGGTTAACGTGCGTCGTTCAAAAACGTCTTCGCTTTTAAAATTCTTTATGGGCTACCTAATAAACAAGGAAATAACTGAAGCCTGCATCAGAATTGCAATGTTAATCACTATTTCTAAAAAAAAATGTGTTTTTCACACAAAAGGGTAAAATTTAATCTCTCTACGTGCCACTCCGTAAACTTACAGACCCTGCGTGATTTTTGTTTTGTTTTTCTTTAGGAGCCACTTTTTCAGCCCTTTCTCAATAGATTTGTTTGAACTTAAAACGATAACAGCTTTTCTTGTACCTTATGAGACATGACTCTGTCAATGCTTGATCTGCATTTTTTCAAACCGATTTAAAAGTCGGTTTGATGGAACTAAAAAGTCTTTAAAAGGTTGTTATAGTTATTTTGAGCTAGCCTGTGTACAGACGGCTATTTTGAGCCATTTTAAAAGACATTTATAGCTTGTTTACATCCATCTAGTACCACATTCTGTTATAATTGTTTAGTCTCTTACTTCTTATCGAAAAATACTTAAAAAGCGTTTAATAATATACAATGTATTTTAAAGTATTAAGGAAGTCTATATAAAACACCAACACATCAAATAGAACAAAATGTTTAAGAAAGAAACTCTTAACATTGCTTAAAAAAATTGCTTAAAAAAGACCCTTAACCAAAATTATTTAACGCCAACATGATACAACTAGTAAACTACTATCGCATACAAAAACTAAATCGATTATAAAAATAATGATAGGAATAATAAAAAATGCTCTTTTTTGAGATAGAGTTATTTTTGGCGATAAAAGAAAGGTAAATGTGGTTAATTAGAACATGAATTCATATGCCTTTTAAACAGTAAAGATCTTTTTATGACACAGTTTCCAGGGTGCGTTTTAGTTTTTTTTCTTTTCAGTGCTTAACCGAGATGCATTCCTGAATCTTCCCTTGCTTACCGTATACCAATTACTGACAGAGGAATTCAGTTTAGGCCTCACCGTTTGGAGTGAA